AGATCTGTCTATTTCTGAGAGTGGAGTATTGAAGTCCCCCAGTACTATTGTATTGGGCTCTAAGTCTCCCTTTAAGTCCGTTAACAAATTTTTAGGTAAACCGGTGCCCTGTAGTTAGGTGCATATACATTGATAATTGTTATATCTTCCTGTTGAATTGATCCCTTAATCATTATGTAGTGTCCCTCTTTGTCTCTCTTAACGGTTTTTGTGGTAAAGTTTATGTTGTCTGAAATTAAGATGGCTACGCCTGCTCTTTTTTCATTTCTGTTGGCATGGTATATCTTTTTCCAGCCTTTCACTTTCAGTCTGTATGGATCTTTGTTGGAAAGATGAGTTTCTTGTAAGCAGCAAATAGATGGGTTTTGTTCCTTAACCCAATCAGCCAATCGGTGTCTTTTAACTGGACAGTTCAGGCCATTCACGTTCAATGTGACTAATGATAAGTGGTAACTTTGCCCTGCCATTTGCCAAAGATAAGTTCTAATATATGCTTTGAATTCCCTGTGATCTTTTGCTGTGAGCTTTCCTTCCTTGGTTTCCTTCCTTTACCTTCTTTCATATTGATGACCGTGTTTCTTTGTTTCTGTGTGTAACACATCTTTAAGCATCTTTTGCAGGGCTGGCCGAGTGGCAACAAATTCTTTCAATTTCTGTTTGCTATGAAAAGTCTTTATTTCACCTTCATTCACAAATGATAGCTTTGCAGGATATAATATTCTGGGCTGGCAGTTGTTCTCTCTTAGTACCTGGGCTATATCTCGCCATTCCCGCCTAGCTTGTAGAGTTTCTGATGAGAAGTCAGCTGTGAGTCTGATTGGAGATCCTCTGAGAGTAATCTGACGTTTCTCTCTTGCACATTTTAGGATCTTTTCTTTATGTTTCACTGTGGAGAGTTTAATTACAACGTGTCGTGGTGAGGATCTCTTTTGGTCGTGTTTATTAGGGGTTCTGTGAGCTTCCTGTACTAGGATTTCTCTGTCCTTCTCCAAACCTGGGAAATTTTCTGCTAATATCTCACTAAAAAGGCCTTCTAATCCTTTCTCCCTCTCCATGCCTTCAGGAACTCCTAGAACCCGAATGTTGGGTTTTTTAATAGTATCCTGAAGATTCCCGACAATATGTTTTAGATTCCTAATTTCCTCTTCTTTTCTTTGGTCTGACTGTATCCTTTCCTGTTCTCTGTCTTCTAAGTCCGATATTCTCTCTTCTGCTTCACCCATTCTGTTTGTAAGGCTCTCTATTGTGTTTTTCATTTGATCTATTGAATTCTTCACTTCAGTCACTATCACAGTTTCCTGTTGTACTAGTTGTTTCGTTTCATTTTGATTCCTCCTTAATATTTCATTTTCATGAGAGAGATTTTCTATCTTGTCCATTAAGGATTTCTGTAGTTCAAGAATTTGTTTTTGAGAACTTCTTAATGTTCTTATCAATTTTTTGAGATCTGATTCTTGCATTTCTTCTATATCATCATCCTCATAATCTTGAATTGGGGTGTCTTTTTCATTTGAGGGCTTCATGGTGACTTCCTTGTTTTTATTACCTTGGTTTTTGCGTTTGTTATTTGGCATATTGGAGATATTTGGTTTCTTTACTGTGGTGCTTTTTCTTGTTATACTATGACTCTAGATTAAGTGGACTATCTGTTTTTGATGGAGCCTTAGGGCTTGAGATGGGTGTGGCCTGAGAGCTCTGTTTGGTGTGCCAAAGGTGACACTCCCAGGTTAGGCGTGGTAAACCTCTCTCTCTCTCTCTTTCTTTCTTTTTTTTTTTTGATTCAAAAGGGAAGTTATTCTGCACAGCTGAACGAAGTTGGAGGTAGTTAGCAGGCAAATGATATACCCACAGGAGCCAGAGATCAGAAGCTCTTTACCAAGGACCACACAGGGAATCTGTTCGGCCCTCAGAGTGGGCTCAAAGTCTCCTTCAGTCTCCCACTGGGTTGCCAAAGTTACGGAATTGTAGCGTCTCTGGAGAGTGCTCATGTGAATTCCGTGAGTTCTCTCCCCCACCGTCTCTTTTTTCACAGTCTCAGTTCAGTAGCACCACAAATTTACTAGGTCCTAATCTCCTGTTAATTTGCCCCGCCCAGAGTCAGGTTTTTCTGCTAGGCTCAGGGCCGGTGCAGACCTGAGGTCGCTCTGCTTATTACGTATGTCCAAGATGGCGCCTGCTCTTTGTCTTGCTCGCCCTTGAGAGGTGAGCGGAGAGAGAGAAACCCGTGTCCGTACCAGTCACCTTTTTTTTTTTTTCCTCTCTCTCCCAGTTAGCCTGGTGAAGTTACCCCCGCCCCCCCCGGGGGTCGTTCCCTCTAGTCTCCTCTCTCCGCTTGCCTGCCGGTGTCTCAGGCTATTGAGGTTCGGCTCACCTCGCGTTCCAGCAGCTCGGTCCCGCGGCTCGGCTTGCGCGGCTTGGTCCCGCGGCTCGGCTTCCGCGCGGTGGGCAACCTTGTTCTCCCAGTAGGTCCTCCGATTCACGACCACTCAATCCAGAAGGGTTTCCTCTGCAATATTTTCCTGGTTCTTTTTTCTGAGGCTACCGTAACTCCCCTTTTATTAAACTAAATTTTCCCGGACTATCGGTGCGCGCCCTCACTATTCCGCCATCTAGTATCTCCACTTTCTTAACTCACAGTCACTCAGAAGTATGGATTTTCTACACCCCTTTGTTTACCCTACCTCAAAGGGGAAGAGAAAGGGATGTAGGGGAAGGGAGAAAGAAACCAAGTGATTGAGATCACATTTGCATAGCCTTTTTTTTTTTAAGATTTATTTATTTATTTGAAGGCGGACTTACAGAGAGGCAGACTTACAGAGAGAGGTCTTCCATCCGCTGGTTCACTCCCCAGATGGCCGCAACAGCTGGAGCTGCGCCAATCCGAAGCCAGGAGCTTCTCCTGGGCCTCCCACACGAGTGCAGGGGCCCAAGCACTTGAGCCATCTTCTGCTGCTTTTCCAGGCCATAGCAGAGAGCTGGATTGGAAGTGGAGCAGCGGGGACTTGAACCGTTACCCCTATGGGATGCTGATACTGCAGGCAGCGGATTTACCTGCTGTGTCACAGCACTGGCCCCTGCACAGCCTTTCACTCATTATACTGTAACAGCTTTTGGAGCGGATCATCAGTGTTGCTGATCTCAGATACAACTGTGTCTGATCTTGTGCCTGTTGTCTCTTTCTAGGGAAATCTCTCCTAGAAGTAGCATTCTGCTTCAGTCTGTATGCTGATAAATCCCAAATCTGTATCTCTGTCCAGGACTTTGCTTCTAGATTCCAAACCAGATATCTGCCTGCTGTTGAACATCTCTACCTGGAACCCTTTCACCTTCAGCATTTCCAAAATTGAAACTTTCCTGTCAAATCTACTACTTATTCTTGTATTTGCAGTCTCAATGAATGACTCTCTACATACCTCTTGGAGTTAACTGAAGCAGAAATCTATGATTCATACCAGACTCCTGTTTCTTCATCTCTTATTTCAAAACAGCATCCAAGTTTCACTGATTGATTCTACCTCCTACGTATTTTCTTTACATGTTCTTCTGCACTCGGGTCCACGGGTTTAGACTATCAACATTTCTCATCAAGACTGTTGTAGTAATCTGATTAGTCCTCTTTCCTGTTAGTGATTATCTCTTGCCCTGTGAGCCTGTCAAAACCAGCTCTACCTTTTTAGCGCAAATATTAAATCTGCCCTCCATTTAAACTTCTCAGATATCTCTTATTGTCTACAGGAGAAATTCCAAGCTCCTAAGTCTTATCTGTCCCCTAACAAACCTATCTGGACTCCTGCCCTGTTTCTTCCATCTTCTGCAATTTGACTTCTGACAATTAAACCATGTGTAATTCCCTGAATAGCAATTTTCTTTCCCAAATCTAGACCCTGAAACATGCCTAGAATCCTACTTTCTGTTCCCAGGCAAATTCCTCTCTCTCTCAGAACTTAGGCCTCACTCTGTGTAGCTTACTTTGATTTCCCAAATAGATTTAGGAGTCCTTCCTCTGTGTTTAAATCACCCTTATAACTGCTTCTGTTAAAATGTTCATTACAATCTATAGCAAAAATTCTGTTTACCTTTCAACTGTAGCCCATAAGCTCCTTGAGGATAAGAACTTTTTCTTTTCATCTGGTACTTAGCACAATGCCTGGAGCATAGTAGGTGCTCCATAAGTACTTGTTGAGTTAGAGGAGCTCTACTTGTATAACACACTATTAAAGAACTTGAGCATAGATGATTCCTGTATAAACAATATGGTTAGCTTAAAACTTGAAAATTATGCAGGGCTGGAAATCTCTTCCACAAAGTATATTTTCATGAAAAACACTAAATACAATTTGAAACACATGGTATATCTTAGGTCACAATAAATCCATTGTAAATCCACTTTAAGATTTGTTTTCTGTAGCAGCAGTAAGAAAAATAATATGGCTATTTTATTCACTTCATTTAGGAAAAGTAGCAAATTTGGCAGGAAAAATTTTGGCAAATTTTGATACATACCACAGGTTATTACCATTTATATTTTGGAATTTTTTGTACAGAAATTTAAAAATTGTCCTTATAAATTAACATAGTTTTTTGAATGTTTCCTTCATTTTTGTATTTTTAAAAAGATTTATGTATTTATGCATTCATTGGTTTGTTTGAAAGTCAGAGTTAGAGAGACAGAAAGAGATCTTCCACCCCTTGGTTTACTCCCCAGATGGCCACAATGGTCAGGGCTGGGCCAGGCCAAAGTCAGGAACCAGGAACTTCTCCCAGGTTTCCCACATGGGTGGTAGGAGCCCAAACACTTGGGCCATTTTTCACTGCTTTTCTCAGGCCATTAGCAAGGACCTGGATCAGAAGTGGAACAGCGGGGGCATGAACCTGCGCTTCACATGAGATGCCGGCATCGCAGGCAGTGGCTTAACCCACTGTGCCACAACACCAGCCCTCCTTTTTGGTAATTTTTATACATTGAGTTTCTACAATTATATAATTTTTTTCTCACTTAGAAACACATGGAACCAGCAATCATCCCACTGATAAGTCATCTTTTAACTTAACTACAGTTGTTGCTGAAACACCTGGACTTGGTGTTCAAGAAGAATCTGTAAGTAGTAGTGTTAATATGAATTAATATATTCTTTTAGACCAGTTCTTAGAGAATTAAAAGAAAAAATATTTTATTCAAAGCTTATTGGATAAAGATCTAGACCACAAACGATGATGTTAGAAAGGCCCATTTATATTGTCTATCCCAGGCAATATATAATCTTCAGAATTGGGGGAAGTAATGCTGACAGAGCATTTTGTCAACCTTCATTCTTACCCTCTCTGCCTGCTGTTTCTCCACCCTCATTCCATCTAAAAGAAGACGTAATATCTTTGGCTTGATCTAAGAATTTATTAGGTCTTTTTTGACATCTTTTAACTGGGGTTTGGTTTGAGAAGCAGGTTGAATTTGAGGGACTGATAAGAACTGCCAACCACTTAGACCTAATTTCTAGTGACTGTCAGAGAATGCCCTCATGATTTTCTTTTTGTTATTTGATGCCTCCTTATTATCAGACAAGTTTACATACTCTTTCTTTTTTTCTTAATTTATCCCTAGGAGAGAGAAAATTTGATTCTTCAATTTTAAGGAAAACTTACATTTTGACACAGCTTTAAAATAATATTCCTTTAGTAAATATATGTGTTTTATTACAGAATTGTCTTGCCACTGAATTTCTAAAAATAGAACTAAATTTTCCATTATATTTGGATTTTTTTGACTTCTATAGTTTGAAATCCTTCTTCAGATGATACTGGGTAGTTTTCAATCTTTGAATTTTAAATGTTTCAATGAATTATAATTCCCTTTTACTGTAAACTTGGCAAGTCAGTGGTTTATACACCAAAGAAATTAAAGGAGCTGACACCTAAAATCTTGCTGCCCAAAGCAATCCACAGCCAAAAGTAACTGCATCTTTTTATTTTGAGAGACAGAGCTCCATCTGCTGGTCTACTCCATCTGTGCTTGCAGTGACCTAGGGTAGGGCAGACTTGCCAGGAGCTGGGAACTCAATCCAAGTCTCCCATGTGGGTGGCAGGAACCCAACTGCTGGGGCCGGCACTGGTGTTTCCCAGGGTCTGCATTAGAAGAAAGCTAGAATCAGGAACCAGAGCCAAGTGTCAAACCCAGACACACCAAAAAGGGACGTGAGCATCCGAACAGCATCTTAATTACTAGGCCATTTGTCTACTCCTTCATCTGTTTTGAAACTTTTTAGAATTTCAGACCTGCTGAACTTGCACTTTTGTTTATCTGATTTATGTATTTATTTATTTGCAAGTCAGAGTTACAGAGAGGGAGAGACAGTCAGCTGGTTCACTCCCCAAATGGCAGCAATAGCCAGGTCTGGGCCTCCCACTTTTTTTGGTCTCCCACGAGGGTACAGGGGCCCAAGCACTTGGGACATCTTCCACTGCTTTTCCCAGGCACATTAGCAGTGAGCTGAATTGCAACTGGAGCAGCAAGGACATAGACTGGCACCCATATGGGAGGCTGGCACTGCAGATGGTGGCTTTACCCACTCAGAACACCAGTCCCCTGAACTTCCATTTTAACAAGATCACCAGTTGACTTCTATGCATGTTAAAATTTGAGAAGCACTGATACATAACTGATCGTTTAGATTCATTGCCCACCAGTATAGTTAATCATCTTTGCTTCCCTAATCTTGATAACATTTATTTGAGTTGAAGTTTTATATATCAGTATTATAATATATTTATGTAAGATATTAAAATATTACTGCTTTTCTCTTTATACACAAAAGGCATTCCACTTTTTTATTATAAATGAATTCACATAACATAAAATTAATAATTTAAAGTGTACATTTAGTACATTGACAATATTGTGCAACTGTGACCTCTATCTAGTTCTAAAGTATTTTTATCATTTCAAAAGAAAACTTCAGTGGCTGGCACAATGTCTCACTTGGCTAATCCTCCAGCTGTTGCCCTGGCACCCCGGGTTCTAGTCCTGGTTGGGACGCTGGGTACTAGTCCTGGTTGCTTCTCTTCCAGTCCGGCTCTCTGCTGTGGCCCAGGAGGGCAGCAGAGAATGGCCCAAGTGCTTGGGCCCTGCACCCACATGGGAGACCAGGAGGAAGCACCCGGCTCCTGGCTTCAGATCGGCGCAGCACTGGCTGTAGCGGCCATTAGGGGAGTGAACCAACAGAAGGAAGACCTTTCTCTCTGTCTCTCTCTCACTATCTATAACTCTACCTGTCAAATAAAAATAAAGAAAGAAAGAAGAAAACTTCACCAGTAAACATTCAGTCCCCAGGCTTCACTTCCTTGCAGCCTCTGTCCCTATGGGTTTTCCTGTTCTGAGTAATTCATATTAATGGAATGTACTTTATGCAACTATTGAGTCTTTTTTCCTGTAGCATTTTTTTTTTAAGATTTATTTGAGAGACAGAAAGGGAGAGACAGAGAGAGAGGTCTGCCACCCACTGGTTTACTCCCCAAATGACTGCAGTGGCCAAAGCTAGGCTGATCCGAAGTCAGGAGCAAGGACCTTCTGGGTTTCCAATAAGGGTGCGAGGGACCAAGCACTTTGGCCATCTTCCATTGCTTTCCCAGGCCATTAGCAGGGAGCTGGATCACAAAGTGGAGTAGCCAGGTCTAGAACTAGCTCCCAGAGGGGATGCCGGCACTGCAGGCAGACACTTAGGCCTACTATGCCACAACACTGCCTCTCCTTTATCATATTTTTTAGGTTCATTCACATGCTAGCATTTGTTGATACTTTATCTTGTTTTAAGGATGAATAAAATTTCAATATATGGATATACTTCATATTTTATTATTGAAGGAATGTCAAGGTCCAAGGAGCCCTCTTGGTGATGAGCTCTATCCCTGTGTGGAAGGAAATCACAAGAAGCAGCCTTTTGAGGAATCCACAAAAATTAGTGAAGATTGTTTAAGGTAATTTGGGACACTGGTGAAAACTTGCAAGCTATGGCTGAGATCCCATTACAGTGAATTCCATTTTTCTCCTTTGGCATATTATTCTGGTTATATTAATATTTATCTTAAAAATATCTCCCCAATTTATGACCTATTGTGATCTTAACTGTAGGACAATAGAGAGATTGGTATTATTGGTAGATACCTTCTTTATGTCCACCAAGCAGTACTTAAAGGGTTCCCAAACTTGATACTCTCCCTCTTTAAAGACCCAATTATGCATTTGGATTTGTATTTCCAAAATGTATATGTTATACAAATGCATCTGTATGCTTAGGTGATCTTCTAAGACTGTTTTGTGTCTCAGTTTTGCTAATTTCAGAACCTCCGTTAAGAACATGAATATTTTGCTTCTTATGATAGCTGTTGGTTTTTAGATACTTATGTCACATTCAATCTGTCATCGTAGTAACTCATTAAAGTAGGTTTACTATTCCATTTTTTAAAGAGATAACAGAAATGTAGCTCCATAAGGTTAAATGTCTTTTTTAAAGCTGCACAGTATTAAGTACCAGCACCAAAGCTGTTACCCACCTCACATTTTCATCAAACTTAAACCTAGTCTTTCTACAGTTACCTCCTCTGCTAGGAACAGGCTGGGTCTTAACTTATATTCAGTACTGTAGTATAAGAATTTGAGTCCTCAGTAGGATTTGTTAAAATCTGATTTTTGTATATAACAGTTACTTAAGTTAGAGGAAAAAATTTTTATAGATGTATTATGATATTAAGACTTCTGTATCATTTTCTTTTGCTTTTCTCTTGTCAGCCAGATACAGAAGCCAACAGCTATGAACTATCTTAAATTCTGATCATCTGCTTCTAATTGATAGATAAGACCTTACTGTTAATTCTGTGTTAGTAAAGTACTTCTCATTATGCTTATCTTTTAATGTTTGCCCTATGTCTTTATTAGGAAAAAAAAAATCTTACCACTATTTATTTGTTTAGGTTTTCAGATTCTACTTCAATGATTCCTTCTCAAGAAGAAGTGTCTACTCGGGTGTCATCTCCTGTATTTGGAGCTACCTCTAATGTGAAAACTAGTTTAGTTTTGAATACAAGTTTATCCCCTTCTCTTTTAGAGACTGGGAAAAAAAGCCATCTGAAATTGGCCCCTTTTAACAATACTTCGGTTTCAAGATCAGAGAAAACTAGATCAAAATCTGAGGACAGTGTCCTTTTCACACATCGTAATCTAGGGTCTGAAGTGAACAAGGTCATTAGCCAATCATCTTCTAATAAGCAGATACTTTTAAGCAAAAATGTAAGTGAATCCACTGATGAACAGGAGAGTGCTGATCATACTAAAGATTCTATTACTGATAAAGCTTTGGTGCCCTTGAAATCACTGGGAGGCAGAGCATCCAAAAGGAAGAAAACTGAGGAGGAAAATGAACTTGAAGTCAGCTGCCCTCAAGCCTCTTTTGATAAAGAAAATGCTTTTCCTTTTCCAAGAGACAGTCACTTTCCCTTGAATGGGGATTATATGATGGATAAACCTCTAGATCTGTCAGATCGGTTTTCAGCTTCTCATCGGCAAGAGAAAAGCCAAGGAAGTGAGACCTCTAAAAACAGACTGAGACAAGTGACTCTATATGAGGCCTTGAAACCCATTCCCAAGGGCTCTTCCTCAAGCCGCAAGGCTTTGGGTGGGAGCTGCATGTTACCCAAAGATTCCCCAGAAGAGCCCCATTCACAGGAGTGCACCCTCCAGTCCTTGAGTAAATGCTCTCCAGAAAATAAAATACCATTACAAATAAAAGAAGAAAATCCTGTCTTCAAAATTCCTCTACGTCCACGTGAAACTTTGGAAACAGAAAATCTTTTTGATGACATGAAGGTTTGTATAAGTGTTAATGATCTTGATTAAAATTGATGTGATTTCATCTAGAAGCTAATAGTCATTTCTTTTTCAGGGTGCTGGTTCTCATGAGCCAATAAGAATAAAAAATAGGTCTGTCCAGGGAGGATGTGAACTTGCATCAGTTCTTCAGTTAAATCCTTGCAGAATGGCTAAAGCAAAGCCTCTGCAGAACAACCAAGGTGTGTACACTATAGGTAGGAGAGCACTCTTTTAATGACTTTGAAGTTAGATTCTTTATATTCTTTTGAAGAGATTGAGTTGTTTTGAAAAAAAAAAATCGTAACTTCTTCCTGCATGAGTCTGTATTTGCAGTATAATTTTCACTGGTTACATTTGACTGTGATTTTTCTGCTCTTGTGCTTTTTGAAAAAAGTAATTGAGATCTTTTGGTGCTTTTATAGGTGATTTTATGGATTTACTTGTGAGGATTTTTTTTTTTTTTTTTTGGTGGGGAGGGAATCTGTTTTCTTTACAGAAGGTTAAAAAAATTAACTGTATTTTATTTTAAAAAAATAAAAATTAGAACTTTCCTTATCTAAACTTGTTGCTCACTCCCTGGGTGACATGTTGTTCTTGGCCTTTACAGGTATGTCTGTCAATACATGTATACATGTATTGACAGGCTTTTCAACTTCTTATTTGAAAACATTATTTGATTTCATATGTTTATGTATTGTTTCATAATTTTGTTGTGTTTAAAAAAAGTCCTTTTGTCTTTTCAGTCACCAGACACTTCTGTAAGTTCAAGTACACTATGTTTTTCCTTTATCCTTCATTGGCAAGTTACTCCTTCATTCTGGATTTATTTTCCTTTTTTCCTGAAGCACATAATTTTAATTGTTCTTCCAGTGACAGTTTCAGTCTCTGCATGAAAACCTTTTTTACCATCTTATTCCTGAATTTTTTTAGCTTTTTGTTTTTATTTTTTTTAAACTTTTCATGTTGATTTGAAATGGTTGTGGGACCCTGGGAGAGAGAAAGAGAGTTATCTTTTCTGCTGGTTCACTCTCCAAATGTCCACAACAGCCAGGGCTACACCAGGATCATGGAACTCAATCTGGATCTCCTGTGTGAGTGGCAGGAACCCAGGTATTTGAGCCATCGTCTGCTGCCTCTCATGGTGCACATTAGCAGGAAGCTGGATCCAAAGTGGAGCAGCTGGGACTAGAACCAGGCACTCCACTATAGGATGCACGTTTTCTAAGCAGTGACTTACCTGCCACACTAAACACCTGCCCCTTTGTTTTTACTATTTTCATGGTTATCCCAGCGATTACAGTATAGCTACTTCATCTTTCAGGATCTATTGGAGGTAATATTTGTACCACTGCAACTATACTTTATGTAGTTATCATGTATTATATAGGCATACATTAAAAACCCCTCCAGTGTTATAATTTTAACTTTTTTAAAAAAATGTTTGTATTGAAATATAATTCACATCATAAAAATCACTCATGAAAGTGGACAGTTCACTGGTTTTGGTATATTCATGGGATTGTACAACCATCACTATATTCTAAATTTAGAACATTTTTGCCATTTTCCAAACTCCTTCCAAAACCTAGGTACCACTAATCTAATTTGTTTTCATATATTTGCCTAATCTGGAGTTTTCATATAAATGGAATCAATATGTGGTCTTTTGTGACCTCTTTCACTTGGCATAATGTTTTCAATTTTCATCCATATTATAACATATTAATATTTCCTTGTTATTGCTGAAGAACATTACATTGTACATGTTTTATTTGCCCACTCATTTTATTTGTTTCTATGTTTTTGCTATTACGAACAGTGCTTCTGTGAACATTTGTGTACAAGTCTTTCTATGGATGTATGTTTTCATTTTTCTTAAGGTCTACCTAGGAGAGAAATTACTGAACCATATGCTGACTCTGTGTTAAACCTTGTGAGGGACTGATGAAATGTTTTCCAAAGCAACTCACCTTTTCACATTCCCACCAGCAACATGGAGGGTTCCAGTTTCTACATGTCCTTACTAACATTTGTTTGTCTCCCTGATTCTTGCCAGTGTGACGAAGTGTCATTATGGTCTTGCACTTCCCAAGGGCAGCTGATGCTGAGCATCTTTTCATGTACTTATTGGCCATTCATGTATCTTCTTGAAGAACTGGCTGATCAGATCCTTTGCCCATCTTTTATTGGGACATTTATCTTTTTAATATTGAGTTGTGAAAGTTCATTCTGCAACCTAGATACAAGCCCTTTACCAGACGCATAATGTTCCATGTGTACTACTCTGTGGCCCTATAATGTTTTAAAGTGATGGGAATTTTTACGTATTTTTTCCTCCTTATTTAAGATGTATCCTTTGAAAATATCCAGTGGAGTGTAGATCCAGGAGCAGACCTTTCTCAGTATAAAATGGATATCACTGTAATAGATACAAAGGTAAGTTACAAGTAGAATGAAAACACATCTGATTTTAATTCTAGTGAGCTGTTAGTCAACCTTCTTTTCTGACTCACTCTAAGACCTTAAGATCATCAGATTTCTCTTAAAATCTACATTTACTTACTCAAAAAACTGCGAAATAAAGGTACTTGTTATTCTCACTTTATGATGTTTTGAAAGGGTAATATTTCCTGACTTTAAAGACTTTTGCTAGGAAACATTCATGTAGTTTTATAAGTAATATAAGGTACTAGTAATATATTTTAAATAATTGTTATCCAAATAATTTATCATCCATCTTGATTAGCTGTGAAGTCATGTTGCTTCAAAAAGAAAATTCATATTCCCAGTTGACTATTTTTATAATTAAAATTCATACTGAAAATACTTTTTTGCCTTATGATTCTAAGTAATTTGAGAAGTTGTCTTTTACTTTAGTAGCATGTTCACAACAAAATGTTTAAATAGGTGATATATATACCAAGAAAGAAATCATATTTGGTTTTGCTATTAGTGTACATTGGTGTTCATTACAGTGAGACAAACTGGAGAAGAAAGGTAGCACAAGCTCCAGGGAGTTTGGTGTCAGTAGCTCTCCCTTTGTAGCTGTTGTTAAAATACAAATGTGAATATGAGTTCATTCTTAAAAACTGAAAGATTTATTGTTTATTTTATCAATTTGTTTTTGTGAAAAGTAAATATAAGGCCACAAAGGGATAATTGTTTTAGATTTTTTTAAAAATATTTTTCCAGGATGGCAGTCAGTCAAGATTGGGAGGAGAAACAGTAGGCATGGACTGCACATTGGTCAGTGAAACCATACTTTCAAAAATGAAAAAGCAAGAGCAGAAGGGAGAAAAAAGTCCAAGTAAGATTTTTTTGTTTTTGATAAAAATATGGGGGGAAAGTTGGTCATTGTACTGTTGCACTGATGAACACCATGTTCTCCTCACCATAAACCAGTTTGTTTTTTTCCCCTGCTTTGTTAATTTTATTTTCCTCTTAGGAAAGCTCAATTCAGTATTTTGGGGGGGAAAAAACACCTTTAACCTAAATAATTTTTATTTCAGAAAGAAATCAAGTTATGTCCAGGGGTCAGTAAACTACAGCGAGTTAAAATTAAGTTTTATTGCCACACAACCTCTTTCTGTATTGATGTGTTGCCCATGGCTACTTGTACTAGACAATGACGGAAATCAGTGAGTGGTTGGTGCGGAGGCCCCATGGCCCCACATGTTTAAAATACTTACTACCAGTCCTTTTGAGAAAAAGTTCACTAATGTCTGGTTGAGATAAATTTTTTTATGAAGCATATAAAGAATCCTGTGTTGGACCAGCACCGCAGCTCAATAGGCTAATCCTCCGCCTGCAGCACCGGTACCCCAGGTTCTAGTCCCAGTAGGGGCACCGGATTCTGTCCTGGTTGCTCCTCTTATAGTCCAGCTCTCTGCTGTGGCCCGGGAAGGCGGTGGAGGATGGCCCACGTGCTTGGGCCCTGCACTGACATGGGAGACAGGGAGGAAGCACCTGGTTCTTGGCTTCAGATCAGCGCAGCGTGCTGGCCATAGCAGCTATTTGGGGGGTGTACCAACAGAAGGAAGACCTTTCTCTCTGTCTCTCTCACTGTCTAACTCTGCCTGTCAAAAAACAAAAAACAAAAACAAAACAAAACAAAAAAAACTAAAGTATGACTGACTACTTTGGCTTTAAATCTATCTAGTTGATTCAAAGAACACAATAGTTTCCAAAATGTATTTGAAGCAAGTATCATGTGAAATAAGACTAGAACTTGGACTAATGAGTTTAGTTTATAGAGATAATTAAATAAATTGTTACAGAAACTATTGTGGCATAATAAATCACCCCCAGAACTTGTGGATTAAACAGCAATGCTTTTCTTTTCTTTATTTTCTGTGGCTCACCAATTCAGAAAGGGCTTAGCTGGAGAGGTCTATCTCAAGGTCTCTCGTGTAGCTGTGTGCAGATGGTAGAAGGATAAGGAACAGCAGGGCTGGGAAGCTGGAGGGTGACTTTTCAGTCTCAGGACTTCTTTATGTGCTCTTTCCACGGGGGCTTGTTGGAGCTTCCTTATGACATAGAGGCTAAACTTCCACAGTGAGTACCCCACTTACTGGGGTAGAAAAGAGAGAAAAGCAGAGGTACATGGTGTTTTTATGATCTTGAAAGTTGCATAGTGTCAGAGATATCCCCAGCTTCAAAGTGAGCAAACATAGACCTCAGTGTTTCTTCAGTGGCTGTCAATGAGAGAAATGTCAACATCATGTTGTACAAATAGCACATGGAATAGGAAACATTGTTGAGGCTGTATTTTGAAAACAATCTGCTCCATAAAGGAAAATCTTTTTTTTAACACTTAGAACTGATTGAAAAGGAAATATAATGAGAAAAGCTCCCAATTACTGATAATATTGCAATTCAACAAAGTTTTTCTGTACCCCTACTCTGCATTAGGCTACCCGATGTTAGACTTACTAGGTGCTAAGATAGAAAGATCAATACAGATAACATCTCTGAGCACCTAAAAGGTAATCTATAGAAGTGAAATTGTCACTTTGAGATGCAGTGACTTTGAACAGCCCTTGTCTCAACTGTTGAAGAACAGGTTTTTTTTTCATACTATATGTTGAACTCTTTACTTAGTATAGAGTTAATCTTATGTGTATAAAGTTAATTGATAATAGATCTTAGTAAAAATAAGAATGGGGATAAGAGAGGAAGGAAGAAAAAGTGGGGGGGGGCGCATAGAGTGGAAAGAATTACTATGATCCTAAAGTTGTATTTATGAAATGCATGAAGTTTGTATAACTAAAATAAAAGGTTTAGAAATTTAAGAAATCTGTAGCTTAAAAAAGCAAAAAAGATAGTATCTCTGTCTTCAGATATTTCATAGTAAGAAGTAAGACATACACATGAACCAGATCAGCAGTTTAACATTGTAACTTATTAAATGGCATATACAGAGTTCTTCCAGAATGCCTAGCACAGTACCTGGCACATAGAAGTTTTTTTAAATTATTTTTTTTATTTTATTTATTTTTATTGTTTTTTACAGATTAATCATCCTTAGCATGAAAAAATGTGTTTTTAAATTATTTATTTTGATTTATTTGAAATGCAGAGGGACAGAGACAAAGAAACAGAGATCTTCCATCCACTGGTTCATTCCCCAAATGCCTACAATAGCCAGGGCTGGGCCTTGCTGAAGGCAGGAGGCTAAAACTCAGTCTGGATCTTCTGTGTGGGAGGCAAGGACCCAGAAACTTGAGCTGCCGTCTCCTGCCACCAGGATGCACATTAACAGGAAGCTGAATCAGAAGTGAAGGGGCCAGACTCAAACCAAGCAGCCAGTGTCCCAAGCAGCATCTTAACACTGTATCAAACACCTGCCCCTAGAGAATTGTTTGCCGTTCAGTAATGTCAAGCAAAAATTCTGTACCAAGAGGTAGTCTAGGAACTGCAAATAATAACTAAACACAGAAAAGGGCCTGCCTCGTGGAGCTTATATTCTAATATTGGAGAAACTAGCACATATGTAGTATGATGATGATGCTAAGTGTAGGAGAAAGATAAAGTGGATAAGACAGGAGGAACAATGAAATGGGAGAGACGCTAATATTTTAATTAAAGCAATCTTGTTAGGACTCCAGTCTGTTACATTTGTTAGCCAGCTGGTCTATTTCTGTTCCCTTTTTTTTTTTTTTTTTTTTTTAAGATTTTATTTATTTGAGAAGTAGAGTTACAGACACTGAGAGGGAGAGACAGAGAGAAAGGTCTTCCTTCCGCTGTTCACTCACCAAATGGCTGCAACAGCTGGAGCTGGGCCAGTCAGATGCCAGGAGCCAGGTGCTTCTTGCTGGTCTCCCACGAGGGTGCAGGCACCCAAGCACTTAGGCCATCTTCCACCACTTTCCCAGGCCACAGCAGAGAGCTAGATCAGAAGAGGAGCAGCCAGGACTAGAACCGGCGCCCAAATGGGATGCCGGTGCCTTAGGCGGAGGAATAACCTACTGCACCACAGCACTGGCCCCATATATCTGTTATTTCTTAAACTCTGCTGTTTTGAAAAATCTTGTATGATAGGAAATATCATACAAATTTTAGGTAATTTCAGACTAATGGAAGTTCTACAGAGTTAGATTTCTGAAGATGAATTTAGTACTTTGGCATATGAGATAAGATATTAAATTCATTATTTCTATCAATAGTAAATTGCCAACTACTAATGATAATACAAGAAAATACTTTTTTTGCTACTTCATTAGAAAAATAAGCGGGAAGGTAGAGAAAATGGCAGGTGTTTGGCACACCAGTTAGATTGACACTTGGGACACCTGCATCCCATATCAGAGTGCCTGGTTTGAGTCCCAGCTACTGCACATTCAATCCAGCTGCCTGCTGATGCACATCCTCGGAAGGTAGTAGGTTGTGGCTCAAGTGTTTGGGTCCCTGCTATCTGTGTGGGAGACCTGGATTGAGCAGCCCTGGCTGTTGCAGACATTTGAGAAGTGAACTAGCTTATGGAAAAGCTCTCTGTACCTCTCTGCCTTTCAAATAAAGTGAAAATAAATAAAATTTTAAGAAAAATAGGTGAAAAAATTTCAATAGTTATTTTCTATTTTTCACAGTTTCTTTGGTAAGACTCTTTTGGGTTTAGTCTGACGTTTACAGGAACTGATAGAAGAAAACTTATTTGTAAGGGATATATGTCTATAGCAAAAACATTCTCTTCACGTGAGTAAAGGGCACATAGAACATGAAAGTTTTGTAAATATACACTATCCAGACTTGAGGATTTACTCTTGACTTCATGCATGAATAATAAAAATTAAACTGCACTGTAAGAATTGTGATTTAAGATGTCTTTAAATATTTTATTACATTCATTGCAATTTAGTATCCACTTACATTCACTGAATTAACACTCTTAACAAGATGACTTACAACTAAAAATCACCTTTTACACATGGTTGTGAGCACTTCATTACATATATCTGCTCACTGAAAAACACTCTTCTTTATCTTAGATGGAGAAAGAAAAATGAATGATAGCCTAGAAGATATGTTTGATCGGACAACACATGAAGAATATGAATCCTATTTGGCAGAGAGCTCCCCCCAAATAGCTGAAGAAGAGGAGGAATTGTCTACGACTAAAAGGAAACCAAACAGTAAGGCTATTTTCTCTTTTCTGCTTCTCAGTTACATTAGTAACTTACATAATTAAGTTAAGTCTAAGGAGACTTAATGAGGTATATTGAAGATTTGTAATATATATATAGGAGATTGTATTTTTTGTATAAAATTTTTTAGGTAATTTCAGACTAATGGAAGTTCTACAGAGTAGTTCAAAGAGTTCTCTACTTTCATTTAGCTTCCCCTTCTGTTAGGGTCTTACATAACTGTAAGATGTTTATCAGAACTGTGTTAGCTTTTCATTACGACAACAGAATACCTCAGAAAAACTAACTTTTGAAGGAAAAGAGGCTTATTTCTGCTCACAGTTTTAGAGGCTCACCGTTCAACAGTGGATAGGCCCCACTGGTTCAATCATCTGGTGGCTGGAGGGTGGTGATGGCAGACCAGGGGTGGAAGAAGGGTCATGTGGCACATCAGGAAACTGGGAGGGTAGCTGGGCTAGGCTCAGGCTTGGAGACCCAGCCCTCTCGTGGGCATGTACCTAGTGACCTCAGGACTTCCTCCTAATTGGCTAGGTGTTTCCAACCCCTTTGCATCATCAGTTTAAAACTTTGGAATTTTATTGTCTGCGTGAATTCAGGAGCCATATATGATTCAAACCTCAGCAAAAAAACTAACAAATCAGTCTTGATTTGATACAATAATTCATATTAATGAAGTTTATAGTAGTGTTGAGAAATTTCTGTTAATTAGTGAATAATTATAACCAAATAGGAGAAAGCTTTGCAGTAATTGAAACTCATTTTCTGCTATGAATGTTTTCTCTATCCTGACAAAGTACCTAATAACTATTAATATCAGTGGGTTTTTTTTTTCCTTTTAAGATTTATTTTATTTATTTGAAAGAGAGAGAGGGAGACAGAGAGAGGTTTTCCATCCACTGGTTCACTCCATAAATGGTCACAACGGCTGGGACTGGACCAGGCTGAAGCCAGGAGCCAGGAGCTTCTTCTGGGTTTCCCACGTGGGTGCAGGGCCCAAGCACTTTGGGCTATCTTACACTGCTTTTTCAGGTGCATTAGCAGGGAGCTGGATCAAAAGTGGAGCAGCTGGGATTCAAACCTGCACTGATAAGGAACTCTGATGTTGGAGGCAGTGGCTTTACCCACTACACCACAATGCTGGCCCCTGTTTATATCAGTTTTAAAATCTGGTTAATTAGAGATAGCAATGAGAAGATACAATGAGAGGTAGCATTCAGAAGAAGAATATAAAATTGAAACTTTAAGTAGATAATCTGGAACAAAAGTTAAAATTCTTGCTAAATATTTCTTTTTCTTACTGTGAATAAGGCTGTCAGAATTTTTAGTCTTGCAAAGCTTGTTTTACACTGGCTGAAATGAGCACTCATCCTGTTATGGCACAGTCTGTCTTGACTGTGCTTCCCTTATGCTTCCATCAAGTTTTTTAAATTAACGGCCCTTTGCTCAAAGTGAGTGAGCAGAGAGAGTGAGCAGCAGCTTTTTGCTTGCTCTGTCATGGAAAAAATTTACAGCTATTCAATGTACTCTGCTTCCCCAGAAGAGTCTTGCAAATTGGTTTCACTTCAGTGAAAAAGAATATTCTGTTACAAAGGTGTGCTTACTAAGCTATGTCTTTTTTTTTTTTTTTTTTGTAAGTTACATTTGACATTGACCTTTCCAAATTTTCTTCTCCTTAATCTTTGATGATGTTGTGCTGTTCTTTTGATCTCTGGAAACTTCTGTTTCCTAGAGTATCCCAAGACTCTCCTTCACATCTTGTTTTTTTTTTTTTCACAGCATTTATTAAATACTTCCGAAGAGTAATGCATGTCTGCATCTGTAGGTTAGACTTCTTTGATGAATACAGTCCTGCATTTCTCAGTAATTGCTAGATACTTGTGTCTGTTCAGCTTAAACTTAACATACCTGAGTTCCTTTTTGTTTCCCATGAAGTTACCCCTTCAGACTTTTTTATTGTTCCCAGTGATCCAGGCATATAATTTAGGATTTGTTGTCCGTTTATTCATTTTCTTAACTCTGTTATCTCAAAGTCCTACTTCATCTTCCTTCATAGGCAAGAGAAATTTGGGAGGAGAACTTAACAAAAGCTCAATTCTGACATATTAATACTTACTGAATTCTTAAGTAATACATATTTAGTATGTAGTTGGAATGTGTGTAGAGTTTGGACAAGAAAATCAGAATAAAAAAATAATTTGGTAGCAGGAAGTCAGAGGCAAGCAGCTAGATGATGCTTAAAGCACTGAAATTGTGTGAGATCACCAAGATACTGACTATAAATAGAAATGAGAAATGCTGGATTCAGCAGCACATACACTGAAATAGCAAGAAGCATTTAGCACCCACTGAAGTGGTTGAAAAGACATAGCTAAATCCGAAGGGGAACAGCAGTTGGATTTGTTACTATTACTTTGGAAAATAGTTTGACAGGGCTTTTTTCCCCACAGGCTTATGGAGGTTTGTCAGGTTTGTATAATGTTCAGTGTACACCCATCCCATCACCAAGCAGTGTGCTTCCTAGCTTTATGAGATCTGATTTTTTAGCTGTTTAATAAATCTGAGGTGAGTGAGAGAACCAGTAACCTCTTCTTTTGGCAGATGAAAAATAAAACAAAAAGTAGTTACAGAAAATTTGAGTGAGTTGTTCAGGGATATAAATTATGAAACATTTAAAACATGGAACAAGCTATTTCTCATTAAATTCATTCTATACTCAGTTTGTGATATGCTTGTCTTGTTTACAGCTCATGGTGATAAACAAGATAAAATTAAGCACAAAGCATTTGTGGAGCCCTATTTTAAAGATGATGAGAGGTAAGTTGGTCTTAATAGCAACAATGTGATTGGAGGTACAACAGGACTATCTTTGTCAGAATATCTCTAGGGTGTTAAATTGCGGTTTTGGCTAAAGAAGGATCATTTACTTTATGATCATAACAAAAAAGAAACTCAAACATAAAAATAACAGATTTCAAAATAAGGAAATTTTTAGCACCACCACCATTTTTTTTTTTTTTGTATAATAGTAATAGTTGTTTTCTCTGCTTAATTATAACATGGTGTATTTTTGTTCTGTTTTATTTTGAATTTTGAGAATTTGTTTTATACTCTTTCATATATGTAAAACTTCAGTGGGGGAGCCTTAAGTTGTTATGCTTTGGAATTTTTTATTTTTTAAGATTTATTTATTTGAAAGGCAGAGTTAGAGAGAGGAGAGACAGAGAAAGTTATCCATCTTCTATCTGCTGGTTCACTCTCTAAATAGCCACAACAACAATGCCTGAGACAGCCAAAGTCAGAAGCCTGGAACTCCATCCAGTCTTCCACATGAGTGGTAGGGGCCCAAAAACTTGGGCCATCTTCTCCCACTTTCCCAGGCACATCAGTAGGGAGCTGGATCAGAAGTGGAGCAGCTGGTTCATGATCTAGTACCCATATGGGGTGCTGGTATCACAGGCAGCAGCTTAATCTTCTGTACTACACACTGGTTCCTGAAATTATTTTATGAGAATTTTTAAACCCTTAAAAAATTGTTTAAGCATCTTTTTTTAAAAGATTTATTTTATTTATTTGAAAGAATTACAGAGAAAGGTAGAGACAAATAGAGGGGGTCTTCCATCTGCTGGTTCACTTCCCAGATGGCCACAACAGCTGGAGCTGCGCCAATCCGAGGCCAGGAGACAGGAGCTTCTTCTGGGTCTCCCACGTGGGTGCAGGGTCCCAAGGACTTGAGCCATCTTCTACTGCTTTCCCAGGCCATAGCAGAGAGCTGGATTTGAAATGGAGCAGCCGGGACTAGAACCGGCGCCCAAATGAGATGCTGGCACTGCAGGCCAGGGCTTTAACCCACTGCGCTACAGCACTGGCCCCTGTGTAAGCATCTTGATTTTGAACTATACACCTTTCTGCCTTGTGTGCAAATACTGAAAATTCTGTTATCTTCATGTGTGTATCGCTCATTTCTAAAATGAATTTAGGTAATTCATTCAAAAAAATTTTATGCTTTTTTTCTTAAAGTTACGATGTTGGCAAGTTGGATTGCTCAAAAAGTAAAGTGTTTGTACTTTCTTACTCCTGTTGAGAATTTTAGAAGTCTACTAGGCTAAATTATTCATTTTTATGAGATTCGGATAGTTAAGAGCTGTCATCTTGTTAAGTGCTAATTCTTCTTTATTTACCAGTGTTTCAAAGTGATCTCCTAGCATCTTTAATGTGGCTAGTTTTTTATTTAAGTGTCATTAAACTCATGGATTTAAATATATTTGATCTGCTTCAATCTAGGGCAGGATTATCCTTATACATACAGTAGGACCCCCTTATCCATATAATGTGTTCAAAAACCACCAAAGGATGCCTGAAAAACTCCAAGCCATATCAGTTCAGTTCATACATGTACTATGCTTTTTCTAAACATGCATGATAAACTTTGAGCTTTTAACTTCAAGGAAGCGCCTTATAGCTTCTCTTTGGCATACGTGAATGCCAGCATCATTACTGTTGTACTTTGAGGCAATTTCTATGTAAAATAAGGGTTATCTGAGCACAAGCACTGTAATATTGCAACAGTCTATTTGATAACCAAGACAGCTACTGACTAGTGGGCAAAGACCATGTACAGTGTGTATCCACTGCTTGAGAATGCTTGGGTGAAGGGACAGTTAATGGCTTAATCAGGAGGTGCAAGATTTTATCCCACTACTCAGAATGACACAATTTAAAATTTATGAATTTTTTATTTCTGAAATAGTCAACATAATATTTTCAGACTATAGCAGGTAACTGAAACCTTGGGAGCTGAAACTGTGGATAAGGGGACTATCATACTCAAATTGTCACATCTTTCTCCCCTAGAAAGAATGCTGCTTTAGTCATTTTTCATAGCTCTCTTATCTCTATTTTGACAGTGTCCCAGCTCCCTTGTTCACTCCCTGCTGTAGGCCCAGGATTTCTCTAGGAGCCCTGGTTCCTTTTAGTGAGAAATGGTATTTAGGCCATAATTTGGCCATTAGTTGCTTATTGCTAGGATTAGTCACTGTTTCTGGGCCTTCTAAGTGGCCAGTTAAGATTTTTTTGTATGTTTGTTTGTTTAAGATATGTATTCATACAGCTGCAACTGAAATGCAGGATTATAGGACTTTTATGTAACCTCCTCTGTCTTACATCTACATCTGTTTTCCTGCTTACTGAAAATATTTCTTCTCATCAGTACCAACATAATTCCTCAGTTTATTTTACAGTACACACATAGAGTAGTATAGTAATGCCATCAATTAGATGACTAATAAAAATAGACTTTTGTACGTAAGACAAATATTATCCTTTGGCACAGTTGTTTTCTGTATAGTTATGCCACTAACTCAGTACCTAGGTTTGCTTTATTTTGTTTTTTATGTTTTAGGAATTGTTTTCTTTTCATATTTAATTCTTTATAAAATTATGTAAAATATGTACATTATACTAAAGACTACAGTAGTAAAGTTTATTTAAATAAATCTAGCTTCTATCCTTGTCCTCTTTGCCCTATTAGCCTGTTACTCCTATCAGTAACAATCTGTTAAAAAATTTTTTTCTTCTATCTTAAAAAATGAGAGCAAATACATTTATATTGATACTCTTCTTTCTCTTAGACTAATATTAGAATGTTATATGTACCTTTCTCTACTTTTTCATTTGACTGTTTATCTTTGAAACATTCAAATTATATAAAGTGATATCCCTCATTTCTTTTTGAGCTACATAATTCCTCATTCTGTGACTATATCATAGTTTATTTCTTAGCAGTGGGCACGTGGGTTGTTTATTCTGACATACAACACAGCAGTGAATAGCTTTGCACATTCTCTTTTTATATTGTTGCCTGTGCATCTTTGGGATAGATTATTAAAAGTAGGATTGATAGATCCCCATTTTAAATGTTTCTCATTAGAGGTTCACTGATTTTTTTAAAAATACGAGTTTAAGTTATTCTGAAGCCACGAGATAGCTGAAGAAACAGGAGGCAGATAAAAGTATAGGGATGGTAAAGGTCTCCAGTTAGGTTTGATTTCTTTCCTGCTGATTCCCACTGAGAATCCTAGCAAACTCTGGCAAAATGGTTTGTGTTTTCAGAAGCTGGGTAGCCTTCTAGGAGATGCCTTGAGATCCTACTCAGATGCCAGTCTACTGGTAGATTCCTTGCTGCATTATACAGAAACACAATAGAGAATAATCAGAGGGAATAATGTGGCCAAAATGTGTTTTACACAAGCTTAGGAGTCTATAAACTCTTGGGAAAAAAGATATAATTGTGACAATATTTTTTTAATCTTTCCTTTCTTGGTCTCCTTTTGTAAATTCGCAGATTGCTCCAGATTTGAGGGTTCTTGTGTTGAACACATACAAAAAAGGACTGATAACTATATACTTTTCAATAGAGTAACTGAAACCTCTTTTGAAGCAAAGAGCTTGCCAATTAGAGGGGCATGTGATCCAGATACCTCAAAGGAGCAGATAATAAATGACCAAAGAGTCATTTTAAAAATCACTTGTTCTGAGTTAGACTGTTTAAGCTCACTGGAAATATTCCCATTATGAAATATATATATATACACACACACCATAAATAACTTTGTTTAACTGCCTTGTAAGTTTTTCTATATTTGGCTTTTGAAAATGAGATACAAGTATATTAATTTTTTTAATCTTGTGTTTCCTGATTGCTTTTTCTTCCCCTAAAGTACTTTATAACACATTAATACATTCCACTTACCCCTACCTCAGTGGCTTTGACCCTTCCTGGGTTTCCAGTAATTCATAATAGGATCTGATCCATTTAAAGAAAAGCGCAAATGATAATTATGCAAAAATTTTGAAGAACTCGGGGTAAGTGGAGGCAGCAAAAGGTACGTTTTCAAGCAAACAACAGCTAAACAGAAGAGTCTGTTCTTTGGAGAGAAAAGGTTAGCTAGCACCAAAGTAGGCATTCTTACTATTAGAAAACAGGCAGTATTCGTTTTCTTGATTATTTCATATAATATCAATTCTTGATTTTAGTAACAACATTTTTAAATATGTTATTCTATTTTACTTACTAACCTAATTATACTTTCAGCCAGTCAGAAGCAAAATAAAAACTAGTATTTATTTTTTAGATTAGGGAAAAATACTCATAAAAATAATGTGACATTGGCAGGCGCCATGGCTCAATAGGCTAATCCTCCGCCTGCAGTGCTGGCACACCGAGTTCTAGTCCCGGTTGGAGCACTGGATTCTGTCCTGGTTGCTCCTCTTCCAGTCCAGCTCTCTGCTGTGGCCCGGGAAGGCAGAGGAGGATGGCCCAAGTCCTTGGGCCCTGCACCCGCATGGGAGACCAGGAGAAGCACCTGGCTCCTGGCTTCGGATCAGCGCGGTGCGCTGGCCGCAGCACGCCAGCCACAGCAGCCACTGGAGGGTGAACCAACGGCAAAAGGAAGACCTTTCTCTCTGTCTGTCTCTCTCACTGTCCACTCTGCCTGTCAAAAATAATAATAATAATAATAATGTGACATAGAGTAAGCACTTAATAAACATTTAAAGAAGAAACATTTAATTTTTAAGATGCTTTCTCCTCTGAGCTGTTACCTTTGTTCATTTAAATCCTAAACCAAGATCTCTGAAGTAACAAATAAATTAATTTTAGTTTACTTCATTTTTTTCTCCCAGAGAAACTGGCTTACAAAATTTTCCTCATATTGAGGTGGTTCGGAAAAAAGAAGAGAGAAGAAAATTGCTTGGGCACACGTGTAAGGAATGTGAAATTGTAAGTATTAATGTAAACACTATCCATTTTGTTTTTAAGTATGGCTTTGTAGATCTAAATGCATGATTTAAAAATCAAAGATACAGGGGCTGGTGCTGTAGTGAATTAAAGCCCTGTCCTGAAGTGCCAGCATCCCATATGGGCTGTGGTTCTAGTCCCGGCTGCTCCACTTCCAATCCAGCTCTCTGCTATGGCCTGGGAAAGCAGTAGAAGATGGCCCAAGTCCTTGGGCCCCTGCACCCACGTGGGAGACCCAGAGGAAGCTCTTGGCTCCTTTGGCATAGCTCCAGCTGTTGTGGCCATCTGGGGAGTGAACCAGTGGATGGACGACCTTTCTGTCTGTCTCTACCTCTCTTTGTAACTCTATCTTTCAAATAAATAAAATAAATCTTTAAAAAAAAATCACAAGTACAAACCATATTTGTATCTAGAAACTTTGGTTGAATCAAGGATAGCAAAAGGAATAAATTTTATACTGACTACAAGCTGAGAGGTACAAATAGATGAAAATGAAAGCCTTCAGTATTTCTTAGATCGAGTGAATTTGGGGCCTGAGCCCTACTTTTTATGTCCAGTGTAAAACATCCATACCATTTTCCTTTTGTTTATTTATTTGCATTGAATTTTCCCCTTGCAAAGCAAAGTTTCCTGTATACAAACAATTTTGGGAAAACTTTGATATTTCAGTAGGAAACATTATTGTACCTTTTATTCCTAACACCAATACTCAGGAAATTAACTACACTCATATATATATATGTATACATATGTGTATATATATATATATATATGTATATGTATATATATATATACATATATATGTATATATATATGTATATATATATACACTCATATATATATATATATATGAGTATGTATATATTTTAAATAGTTGGTATCACCATAAGCTCCAATTTTTTCCCCATTTTCCTCGCTCTTATAGAAAATGTGATGAATAGTATTCATATCATTCTTTAAAACACTTAAATTTTTCCTTTCATACATGGGAATCAACCAAATGAAAATCTTATGTGAAAACATGATTAAATTGCAGTGAAGGTAAGTATTTGATAAAAAACAATATGCTCTCATACACTAATAGTATAAATTGGAATCACTCTTTATAATGTCACAGTAAAATCAAAATTGCCTATATTGTTATTTTTTCATAACATCATTTGAATATATTATGATTTCTTTTTTGTTTTTTTAAAATTTATTTATTTAATAAGAGGCAGGGTTAGCAATAGAGACAGAAGAGAGATCTTCAATCTGCTGGTTCATTCCCCAAATGGCTGCAACAGCCAGAGCTGGGCCAATCTGAAGCCAGGAGCTGGGAGCTTCTTCTGGGTCTCCCACATGGGCGCAGGGGCCCAAGCACTTGGGCCATCTTCCACTGCTTTCCCAGGCCATCAGCAGAGAGCTGGATCACAAAGGTACAGCTAGGATTCAAACCGGTGGCCATATGGGATACCATCACCACAGGCAGAGGCTTAACCTAGTATGCCATATCACCAGCCCCTATATCATGATTTCTTAACTAAAAGCATAATCTACATACATAAATCTTCAGTTTTTAGTTAGAATCATAACTAATTCTTTATAATCTAGAACTAATCCTATTATTAAAAAAGAAAGCTCTTCTTCTAGAAATTCTATAATGTTAATTGATTTTCTTCTCAGTAATCATTTCCTGTACGTACCATTGTTCAGTCTCTTAAAAACCATCGTTTCATATGTCTTCTTTAGTTTTCCTAGGGTGAATCTTTCTATCGCTCTGTGATAACCAGAAGTGAAAGTGCCAGTCCCGTGTACTTAAAAGTGTCTTTACGCTTACATTTCCTGATTTTATCCTCTACTCTACATGTGAGATGTGTAATACACATGCAGATGTGTGACAGTAATCTCAAATCTCCCATGTTGAAGAGCAGACATAGAATTTCTGCTTCTGGCTCCCAAATGTCACTACGACTGAGTTGCCTGTATGTCTGTTCTTCTAGCTGTTTAACTGAAAGGTCATTATTTCACATCTCATTAATTGAACTGCCAGCAAATCCCATTAAATCTTCCTTCAAAACATATTCCATTTCCATCCACTCATTATTTCCACAATAATACCCTGAACCCAGGTACCATTTTATTTTGCCTAGGCTATTCAAATATTCTAAGTGCTCTCCTTGTCTTTGTTTTTTAATAGACTTTGCTTTGTAGAGTATTTTTAGGCTTGCAGGAAAACAGCAGAAAATACAGGGATCCCATAAACCACCTTCCTCCCTTCTCTTTTTTCATTCTATCTCTTTATAGTATACTTTTAACCAGCTCAACAGTGGTCTTTTTTTTCCTAATGATTTTTTTGGAGTAAAAGTTAAATAATGGCACCTCTATGCCCTTTGGAAACCCTTAGTTGTCTTCCCAGCTTACTAAGAAATAGAATCCAAGATCCTGAGCAAGAACAACAAACTCTTGGTATCCCTCTTCTCTTTGACTACGTATCTCCTACTTTTCCACCGTTTAGTGTGTTACAGCTGCACTCACCTACTGTTGTTCCTTGCGTATCTTTTAATTTGGTGGCAGTGTTTTTTCAAATAAGCCATCACTCTCTAAGGTTATCTCATCCCAAAACCCAGACTAAGATTAAAAAAAGGCTTATACTTACGACAGTGAGAGTGATGAAAAACATACTCAAAAAGAAGTTGTTTCAAAGATTCTCTGAAGGTTTTAATCTTTGTAAAATAAAAATTTATTATAAACCTTTACTTCAAACTTAAATTCTAGTCCTAAGTCTATCACTTTTTTTTTTTTTTTGAAGATTTATTTATTTATTTGAAAGAGAAGGAGAGGCAGAGAGAGAGAGAGAGTCTTCCATCTGCTGGTTCACTTCCCAGTTGGACATACGGCCTAAGCTGTGCTGATCTGAAGCCAGGAGCCTGGAGCTTTTTCTGGGTCTCTCATGTGGTTACAGGGGCCCAAAGACTTGTGTCATCTGCTGCTGCTTTCCCAGGCCATAGCAGAGAGCTGTATTGGAAGTGGAGCAGCCAGGTCTCGAACATGCGCCCATATGGGATGCCGGCTCTGCAGGTGGTGGCTTTACTCACTACGCCACAGCGCCGGCCCCGTCTATCATTTTTTTTCTTTTTTTTTTTTTTTGCGGGAGCGCGCTTTATTGGGGCTACTTGAGCGGGATGAAGCGGGAGGAGTGCGTGGCGCCGATGCCCGGCCGGCCGTGCTTCACGGGCTTGTAGGTGATGGAGAACTCGCCCAGGTAGTGGCCGATCATCTCGGGCTTGATCTCCACCTGGTTGAAGGTCTTGCCGTTGTACACGCCCACCATGCTGCCCACCATCTCGGGCAGGATGATCATGTCGCGCAGGTGCGTCTTCACCACCTCCGGCTTCTCCATGGGCGGCGCCTCCTTCTTGGCCTTGCGCAGCCGCTTGAGCAGCGAGTGCTGCTTCCGCCGCAGGCCCCGGCTCAGCCGCCGCCGCTGCCGCGCGCTGTACAGCTGCATCAGCTGCTCGTAGGACATGTCCAGCAGCTGGTCCAGGTCCACGCCGCGGTAGGTGAACTTGCGGAACGTCCGCTTCTTCTTCTGCTCGACTTCCGCCATCTTGTCGGCTTCCCGGAAGAGGACGTGCAGCTCGCGCACGCGCAGTTATCGCGAGCCGTCTATCATTTTTAATAGGCAATTATCTTATCACTTTGATTTTCAATTTCTCAAATATAAAATAAAGGAATTGACTGGATTAGGTGATCCTGTCACCTGTGTTCTATTAAGTTTTAAACTATTGTTTTGTTTTCTTCAGATCTAGAGCCTGAAGACCTGTACAGTTTTCATAAACAAGTTTCATCATTGTTTGCATATAGTTCAAGTTCTTTATTATGACAGCTGTTAAAGTGTGTGTGTGTGTATGTGTGTGTATAGTATCCCTTTGATCCTGATAAAAATCCAACTTTTTTAAAAGGGTAACATCATGAAACCTACAACATTCAAATCTTTTTCTAAGTTGTTTTTCTTGGTCAATTGTGGCATTTTAAAAAAGTTTATTTTTATTTATTTGAAAGGCAGAGTGACAGAGACTGGGATCTTCCATCTGCTGGTTCTCTCTCCATATGCCCGCAAAAACCAGGAACCTAATTTTTCATCTGGAATTGCCACAGGGATGGCAATGGCCCACCTCAGGTACCTGGGCCATCGTCTGCTGCCTCCCTGGATGCATTAGCAAGAAGCTGAATTGGAAGCAGAGTAGCTAGAACTCAGCCAGCACTCCAACACAGGATGCATGCATCCCACCAGTGGCTTAACCTGCTGTGCCACAATGCCCATCCCATAAATTTTTATTGTAAAAAATTGTAGAGATATAAAAATTACTCTGAGGGATGGGTATTTGGCACAACAGTTTAGACACCACTTGGGATGTGTGGGCTCTGATATCAGATTGCCTGGGTACGAGTTCCTGTGAAACAATGAAAGCTCAAGTACTTGGGTACCTGCCCCCCACTTAGGAAACCTGAATTGAGTTCAAGGCTCCTGCCTTTGTGTTGGCCCAGCCTCAACTCTTATGAGCATTTGGGAGTGACTCAGCAGACAGAAAATCTCTGTCTCTTTGCCTTTCAAATATATTGTTTAATCTTAAGAATTACTTTGAAACACACATGCTATATCCAGATAACAAATGAGAAAAGTGCAGACCCTCTGAATTTTTGTTACTTGTCTGGCAAAGATGAGGTGTTTGCACCAGTATGTAAATCAATTGTGTCACTAACACATTGTAAAACATTCAACTGGCAGTGTTTTGTTTGTTGCAAGACTTTATTTTTGAAGGGAACAGTACATTAATTTCTGGTGTGATACAAGCTCCTTTTCTCATCTGTAAAGCAAACATTTCAAAGATCAGTGCCAGCACTGATTACTGTTAGTAGTACTATCTGTAAATATTAATTTCTAATATTAATATGAATCTTCCTTTGAAACTGAATATTTTAATAAATGGCTCTTTAAGCTTCTAATTCATAATTAATAAGTCTAGCACTTAATGTATTATTCCTAAGTGAAAAAACCTTACCAGTTTTTATTGTTAGTATTATGCAGATTTGCCAGCAGAAGAAAGAGAAAAGAAGTTGGCTTCCTGCTCAAGACACCGATTCCGTTATATTCCACCCAGCACACCAGAGAATTTCTGGGAAGTTGGTTTTCCATCCACTCAGACTTGTGTGGAAAGAGGTGAGAGTTTAGATTGTAACTTTGTAGAATTGTTTTTTTAAAATACTGTCTATACTCCAGATTGAACACTAATCTGGTTCTTTTTTTATCTTCAAGTTTTGATACTAATTTTCTGACATAAAAACAAATTCCTAAAAATAAAAGGCTTACCTTCAATTCATTTAGTAATTTTTTAAATGTTTGTTTATTTTCATTTACATCAAAGAGCAACGGAGAGAAGGAGAGGTCTCCCATCTGCTGAGTCACTCCCCAGTTGCCCACAACAGCCAGGGCTGGACCAGGCTGAACACAGGAGCCCTGTCTCTCTCATAGGTGGTGGGGCAAGAGCACTTGAGCCATATCAGCTGCCTCGCAGGGTATACACTAGCAGAAAGCTGGATCAGAAGTGCAGAAACTGGGACTTGAATGTGCACTCTATAGGGTGTGGGCATCCCAAGTAGCAGCCTAATCCCCTGTGTCACAGCTCCTGCCCCTCATCTAGTAATTTAATTAAGACCAGACACTGTTTGTAATTACTATAATGTGATTTAATGTATTATCTTAGTTTATCATTCAAGTTTCAGAAAGAAGTTTCTTTTTCATCCTAATGTCAAAATGACATTATTATTTATTTCAATAGCAACAAGTTGCCAGTAAATTTTTATTGCTAAAAAGAGAGTATCTTTTTAAATCTATTATGTTAATTTTATATTTAAAACCTCACCCAGAATGCTGGATGTTCATAAGCTGTGTCTGAATAAAAAGGATGTTGGTTTGCCTGTTGACATTTAACTAGCTCACTCACATGCAGCACTTAGTAGTTAATATAATTTGAGAATATATACATCTTTAAAGGTGACAGTAAAAGATCATAAGTAGCAATTTTTGTTATTATCTTATTGTTACTACTTACTTTCAAGTGAGTGCTATGCTAAAATAATGTGGATACAGACTTTCCTGGTTTTATGTTAATTTTCTCCCAGATTTGGCCAAGAGTCCTCACATCATAGTAACTGTCTTTGGGACAGCATACTCCCACTTCTGTGCCAGGCTATTACCAGCCATCTGTACTATCCCAGTATTTAGGAAGTTCAATCATGCATAGTCATTGAGCCTGAACTTTATTGTAACCACTGGTTTAAATGAAATAAAATGCTCTAGGGTATATAGCCTTAAAAGAGTTACTCAGCTAAGCAGTGTCCAACTCAACAAGCCCTTTGTTGTGAAGATAGCATTCCAGCGGATTTTATCAGACCATCTAATAGTCTTTATCAAGGCACCTCTTTAATTCTAAAGATTTTACTCCCTACAGAACTATATTCTTAGGTGGGATGTTTGGTTTTTTTTTTGGAACATAGTCTAAAACTCAGATGTAATTAAAGGAATGTTGGTGTAGTGTTCAAAAGAGGATCTATTCAGATTTTTTGAAGAATTTTCAACTCAAAATCGTCCTAAGACATAATGGATAAATATTGACATCAAATGTGTGCATAAATAAATTTAACTGAACTTAATTAGTATTTTTTTTGCTCTTTTTCCACATGGTCTAAAGACTACGCAGTTAAAGCTAAGTCTTACTTTGTAGTTTAAAGTACTGAGTTTTTTGGAAATATGATGTATCTTCTGAAATGTGACTGGAAAATACAGTACTATTCAGAATGTTTATAATTTGGTTTCTAGATTTATGAAAGATTTCACTGATTAGTAGACTTCAGGCCTCAGGCATGTATTTATAAGTTGTAAATAAATATATAAAACCTTTGCCCAGAAGAAGATAAAATAACATTGAATGCATATCAGATGATAAGATTACCACCTAAAATTGCCATTTTATAGCAACACTTCTTTTCTGATGGTTTGTTTGAGGAAAAGTAGAGACCCTTCCTCACTTTTTTCTTTGAAGAGTTTTTTTTTTTTTTTTTTAATTAATTTGAAAGGCAGAGAGACAGAAATCTCCCATCTACTATTTGACTCCCCAAATGCCCACAACAGCCAGTGCTAGGCCTGGCGAAAACCAGGAGCCAAGAACTCCATTCTGCTCTCCCACATGAGTGGCAAGAACCCAAAGACTGGGCTATCATCCATTGTCTTCCAGGCACATTAGCAAGAAGCTGGATCAGAAGCACAGAGCAGCTGGGACTTGAACCGGGCACTTCCATAGGGAATGTAAGCATTCCAAGCAGCAGCTTAACCCACTGCACTGCAATGCCCACCACAACTTTTCTCATTTTGACAAGCTACAGATAGTCAACTGTAAGTTAGTTTTTCTGAAAGATGTGAAGTCTTTGATACTATTTACCATATTTCCACTTTACCCATTAACAAGCTGGATTAAGTCCCCTTTGACATAATGTCTCTCTGCTTTGTCATCCCACAGAACCAGGTAGTTTGGATAGAACTTCTGGTTATAGTCCTAATGGGGCCTTGGGGTATGGCAGAGTTCAGTCAACTCCTGGAAATTATGTGACTGAGGACACCTTGGAAAAAAGTCTTAATGGTCTGAAAAGTAAAGAGGCATGTCATCTAATGAAATAGCTACTGTAAAGTCTTTTTGATAAGCACCTGGAATTTGTCATAATAATAGAGTTCATGTTTAGCAGTTTTTCCCAATTGCAACCTAAGGGAGGCAGAAGAGGAAAGTGTATCCTTATAGCTCTGGTTCTGCTACTAGATAGAGCTCTCTCACTCCTAGCTTTGTGAATTTGAGTGAGTTACTTACCTTGCCTGGGTCTCCATCACCTCGTCTGTGAAGTAGCTCTGTGGAAGCTACTTCAGAAGAATTTGAGTTACCTGAGATGATGTATATAAAGCATGTGGTAAATGTTTGCTGCTGTTATTGTTACTAAAGAAACTCATGCTGAGAGATCATACCTCAGCTAGCAACCAGGAGAATCACATCAACTTCAAATAAAATGTTTACTAAAAAAGTGCTGAGAGAAATATGTGTTACAAATGCAGTCTTCTAAATTTGTAATTTGTTTTAAGGTTACATTAAGGAAGATCTTGATCCTTGTCCTCGTCCAAAAAGACGGCAGCCTTACAACGCAATGTTTTCTCCAAAAGGCAAGGAGCAGAAGACGTAGATGTTGATGCAAAAATAGAAGAATAGAGGATGGTTTTTCTTTTTAGTTATTTATAATTAAAGTTGGTATTAAACATTTGATTTTTTGAATCTCCTATAAATTGACTTATAAATCAGTTTTCTATTGAAAATGTTTTAAAATGCCATTTACTCACCATGTAACTATTTAAAATGTGGATATATTTGTGTTGTATTTTCTTGATTTTGTACCTTTAAAACAAGAAGGTGTTTTCATTTTGCACTCTTAAGAGTTGTTTATTTACTTTATTTGGTAATACCTAATTACAGTTTTGAAAATAAGATAGTTGTAGTCTGTGATTTGTTGGCTTTGGTTTCTTCTTTTTACTTCATCTTCCCTTAAAGGAGAAAGGCTAAATTTTAATAGTCCTTTTAACCCTCCAGATTCTTTTGTTGAAGTGGAATGAGATACTCACTACTCTGTGGTGCATTCCTTTCATAGGGACCATAAACATCCTCCTTTTTCCTATTCCACATACTGTAAATTAACACCATCCTCTGATCTGGTCATCATATTCTAGCTCTTCACATATTTTCCTTTTATACTCATTTTTCTGGTACAGTTTTCAAGATGAATTGGTTTACTTCTCTGCCCATGTGTTCAAGTTCAGTTGTATTATTTCTCTGATTAATGTTTGAATTTCCAATTTAACTTTAAAATAGATTTTTATATTTAACAACTGTCTTTTCCATTGGAACCTGGTGTCTGAGTCATTAAGAGGACTGACCACATCCGTGTCCCCTTTTCTAGAGGCATTTTGTGTATTCCAGTGTCTTTTGTGTATTCCTTTAATTCATGCATATCTTTACAGTACTCCGTAAACAGGAATACAAGAAATACTGAATGCCTCAAAAAATCTAACTGACCTTATAGATCTGATCTTTGCTTCTCAGTGTTCCTAAAACCTCTTTGCTTACTCTAGTCTCCTGTTGATCAGAGTTCTTATGTGAATGAATATCATCAGTTTGTGTTCTCACAGATAGGACAGGAAAATAAGTTACATGTATTGAATATCTACTGTATGTACATTGTTTGGCACTGAATCTGATCTGATTTTTTTTTTTTACAATTTTTACATTTTACAATGCTATCATCACTTCTGTTCAGCATTTTTCTCCCCTTCTCAAATTGACTTTAATGCTTTGCTAGCAGTCAACTAATTGTCCAAAAATAATAGCAGCCATTTATTTGTCACATACTATATGTCCAGAACTGTGTTACACTCTTCCTATAGGTTTTTCATTTTCAATCCTCAAATAATGATGTGACCTTTTATATAACATAATAATGTTAAGCTACAAAAAAAAAAAGATACAAAAAATAACAGATTAGATAATAAATGACTAGCTTTATTTTTCTTATTTTTAAAAGTCTGGGTCAGGGGCTGATGCTGTGGCACAGCAGGTTAGAGCCCTAGCCTGCTGTGCCAGCATCCCATATGGTTCAAGTCCCAGCTGCTCCACTTCCCATCCAACTCCCTGCTAATGTGCCTGGGAAAGCAGCAGAGGATAGCCCAAGTCCTTAGGCCCTTGCACCCACATGGGAGAACCAGAGGAGGAGGCTCCTGGCTCCTGGCTTCAGATCAGCTCAGCTCCGGCCTTTGCAGCCATTTGGGGAGTGAACCAGTGGATGGAACACCTGTTACTGTTTCAAATAAATAAAATAAATCTAAAAAAAAAAAAAAAAAGCCTGTGTCAGCCATTTAAGCCACTGGTGCAGCTGTGTAATACCCCCTAGTACCCAGACTTCTAGATTTCTGCCCTTCCTTACTGTGTATGTGCCATTCATCCTTGGTTATGAATGACTGCTACACTACCATACCCTCATGTCCATGTTCTACACAAAAAGAAAAGGAAAAAAAAAATAAATGCCATGGGGTTTTGTCCCTTTTGAAAAAATTTTCCAGGAAGTCCTACCCAGTAACTTTCCCTATGTCTCAACGGCCACAATTGTCACAGGGGTGGCTAACTGTAATAACTGATAGTTTTGAAGTCAAAAATCTATTGCCTAATTCCAGAATCAGAGCTCTAATGTAATATTGTGCTTCTAAAGGATAAGAATTTGAGAGACAATTGAGTTTAAGCAGGTAAAAGAATGTATGGTTATGTTGTAGGATTATAGAAGTCCCTAGCTGTGTTTATTCCAGGTTCTTATCTCAGCGTAAGAAACGAATTCAAGGGGCCAGCACTTGGCACAGCAGGTTAAAGCCCTGGCCTGCAGCACCAGTATCCCATATGGGCGCTGGTTCAAGTCCCGGCTGCCCCACTTCTGATCCAGCTCCCTGCTAGTGTGCCTGGGAAAGCAGTGGAGAATGGCCCAAGTCCTTGAGCTCCTGCACCCACATGGGAGACCTGGAAGAAGCTCCTGGCTTTGGATCAGCTCAGCTCCAGCCATTGCGACCATTTTGGTAGTGAATAAGCAGGGAAGACCACCTCTCTCTCTCTCTCTCTCTCTCTCTCTCTCTCTCTCTCTCTAATTCTTTCAAATAAATAAATCTTTATTAAAAAAAAAAAAGCAGAAACATAGATAAGGTGCAATAATGGGAGTAGGAGCAGGATTTATTTAAAGAAATTAGAGAGTACACACAAAAGCAAATGTGGGCAGTCTCGTGGTGGAGAACCGCACCAACCCCAGTTAGTTTTTCCCCTTTATTGGCTGGGTGGTAGTGCCTTAACCAAATATACAAATGTGGAGTTTGGGAAGGTTTCATGGCATCTCCACGTGGAGTTCAGCAAATTGTTTTTCATGGCATCTGCTGCCTGACGGGAGGCTCAAGTGTATCATGGGAAAGTGGGTATGTTGCATTGGAAGAGGGTGGAATTTTTAGGGGTGCAAGGGCTAAGGCACAGAAACTTCTGGAAGCCTCTTCTCTCTTTTTCCCTCACTAACTCCCTGCCTATCCCATATCAGTGAGAGCTGTGTATCTCCAAGTCAATTTAGCCTTAAAAAGCAGCCTAGGCAGAGAGGTAGAAATTGTCTTGCTGATAGTAGCTTGACAGGTTTCCAATCTATTTGTTACTAGCATGTTTTATTTCATCTTCAGTCACCCAGTGAGGATGAGTGTACTGATGATGTCTGTCTCCCTTTTTAACTGCTGTTGACCAGCTCTGCCTTTAAATGGAGTAATGAAATAGACACTTTTCCAAAAACACTTGAGTTAACTCAAAGGATGCATTTAAATGGAAAATTTGCAGTATGACACAGGGTCCTCAAAGGGTGGAGAACCTTTTTTCTGCCAAGGGTTGTTTGAGTATTTATATTCAAATATTTTTATATTCAATGGCCATAAAAAATTATCAACTTAAAAATTAGCCTCCTATAGATTTGCTGAATTTCAAGTCCCACCTCTGGTTGCCCATGGCAGAGCCAGGCCAGATGATCTCTCAGGTCTTAGGCAGCCTCCAGGCTGGGAGTTCTCCGATCCTGTAACCTTTTCTTTAAGAAGATAGTGTTAGTGGAGCCAGCATTGTGACATAGCGGGTAAAGCTGCTACCTGCAATGATGACATGCCATTTGAGCACCTGTTCAAGTCCCTGCTGCTCCACTTCCTATCCAGTCCCCAGCTAATAGCCTGGGAAAAGCAGCAGAAGATGGCCCAAGTGCTTGGGCGCTTGCCACCCATGTGGGAGACCCAAAATAAGCTCCTGGCTCCTGGCTCCTCGCTTCAGCCTGGCCTAGCCCAATCCAGCCCAGTCCTTGCCTGGCCATTGCAGTCATCTGGTGAGTGAACCTGTGGATAGAGAATCTCTCTCTCTCTCTAACTCTGACTTTCAAATAAATAAATAAATCTTTAGGAGGAAAAGGCAATATAGGTAAAAGATGCAAATATTCCTCCCAAGAATGTCTATAATTCATAATTCAGTTACAAAAGAATAGAGTTACCATAAACTAAATAGCATTTACTTAACAGACATCTATTAAGTACTCTATCTTCACCAAAATACACAGTAACAGCATCAGAATCAGACAAATTGTGACAAATTTTCTCCAAAGAAGCAAATGTCTAAAGGTGCACATCTAGAATGGGTGTTTGGTGTAGCGATTAAAATACCACTTAAGACTCCTGCATCCCACATCGGAGTACCTAGGTTCGAGTCTTTGTTTCAAATTCCAACTTCTTGCTATTGTGCACCCTTGGAGGCAGCAGATGATGGCTCAAGTGTTTGGGTCTCTGCCACTCATGTGGGAGGCCCAAATTGGGTTCTGGGCTCCTGGCTTCCACCTGGCATGGCAAGCATTTGGGGAATGAACCAACAGATAGAAGATCTGTCTCTGTCTCTGTGCCTTTCAAATGAAAAAAATTTTTAAAAATAATTTTTTAAATCTAATTTTAAAAAAGAAACAGATACCTAGAATCTTACTCCATTCTCCCTGGCTTCCTAACAAACATCAATTGTACTTTAAAAAATGCCACTTCAGATACAAACATTTGAATTATGTCTCAAATTTACTATCTTTAAAAAAAAAGATATATGTATTTATTTGAAAAGCAGAGTTACAGAGGCAGAGAAAGAGAGATCTTCCATCCACTGGTTCACTCCCCAAATGGCCACAACAGCTGCAGCTAGGCTGATCCGGAGCCAGGAGCTTCTTCCAGGTCTCCCATATGGGTGTAGGAACCCAAGGACTTGGGCCATCATTGCCAGACCACAGCAGAGAGCTTGGTTGGAAGTGAAGCACCCAGGACTGGAACTGGTGCTCATATGGGATGTTGGTATCACAGGTGGCAGCTTTACCCACTACCCCACAGCACAGGTTCCTACTATCTATTCTTGATATATCTAGCAGCTTCAGAGACACCTGAGTCTTTAGTTAAGTTAATGCCCAGTAGGGTTCCTTAGAAAACTGA